GAGGGATAGCCCTCTTTATGTCACCAATTGTAAAAGGCGGCTTTGAAGATGGAACTCTTTTCGCAACATCATTTTTCTTTTCTTCTATTTTACTGCTCATATTACCACCACCTCCCATCCTCCTGCATCCAATAATTTATTTTAGTTAGTATAATATATAACACATGAATATTCTATAATTAATATTATAAGTGCATATCATATAATATAATATAATATAGAAGAAATTAATACCTCAATATATTCAAAAGTAGAGAGAAAAGAGTCTTTTGAGTTTTACTTTCTCAGATTGTGAACAAAATTTCTCTATATATAATGCATAGATGTGGGGGACCAACAGCCAACCTACTTTGACCAAGATTTTTTTTATTTAAAAATAAACTGCTTTTTTTAATTAAAATGTATTAAAGTTGAAAGGGTAAAAATGTTCATAAAGGTAATTCACATAAAAACTTTGAAACTAAGGATAACAACACTCTTAAACCAATTCGCATTTCGGAGTTGATGAGACTGACAGAATTCCATTTTGAGACTCGTAGCTCCAGATGTTGACTAAAGTCGTTGATGAACTTAGGAGCTTCCAACCTTTAAAACTTCCAAAAATTTCAACTTTTCGATCCCGCTATACAAAACTGACCTCATAAGCTGATCCAACGAGACTCAGGGCAACTATCGACAGGGGTAAAGAGGTAATTTTTCAAAAAATTTCCAAAAATATCACTCAAGGTTATTACAGTTGGGTGGTGATATTTCCGAAGGAATTTTTTTTCTTTTATCACTGATTCAATCAAAATATATGTGGAAATAGTCACTGAATATAAAATTTTAGTTGGAAAATAATGATTTTTTAATAGTCTAACAACTTCAACACTTTTAATAATATTACCAATAGGACTGAGGTTAGTTTTTCAATACTCTAAGGACTGAGGTTAGTTTTTCAACTCAATTTATGAATTGAGTTATTAAACTCACAGTGAAAATGATAGTCTGGTCAACTAATTTATTGGTTGTCAAATTAATATCCTTACAAAACTAACGAGTCAAGAGGGCTATATTATTTAACAAAGTAACACA